CTTCACAGGAAGGGCAATGGCTATAAGAAGATTGCAAAGATGTTAAACATACCAAGAGACACCTTAGGAAGCATCATTCGCAAATTCAAGGCAAAGGGCACTGTTGAAACGCTACCTGGTCGTGGCAGAAAGAAGATGCTGACTTCGACTGCTGTGCGCTACCTGAAGCGTAGAGTGGAGAGAAGTCCCCGTGTGACTGCTGAGGAACTGAGAAAAGATTTGTCAGATGTGGGTACAGAAGTTTCAGCCCAGACAATAAGACGCACACTGCGTAATGAAGGCCTCCGTGCCAGAACTCCCAGGCGTACCCCCTTGCTGTCTCCAAAGAATAAGAAGAGTCGACTGCAGTATGCCAAAAGCCATGTGGACAAACCACAAAAGTTGTGGGATAGTGTTCTGTGGACTGATGAAACAAAATTAGAACTGTTTGGGCCCATGGATCAACGCTATGTTTGGAGGAGGAAGAACAAGGCCTATGATGAAAAGAACACCTTGCCTACTGTGAAGCATGGTGGAGGGTCAATCATGCTTTGGGGCTGTTTTGCTTCTGCAGGTACAGGGAAGCTTCAGCGTGTGCAAGGTACCATGAATTCTCTTCAGTACCAGGAGATATTGGATGGAAACGTGATGCAGTCCGTCACACACCTGAGGCTTGGGAGACGTTGGACCTTTCAACAGGACAATGATCCCAAGCATACCTCCAAGTCCACTAGAGCATGGTTGCAGAGGAAAGGCTGGAACATTTTGGAGTGGCCATCGCAGTCACCAGACTTAAATCCGATTGAGAACCTCTGTGTGGGACTTAAAGAAAGCAGTTGCAGTGCGCAAGCCTAAGAATGTGACTGAACTGGAGGCCTTTGCCCATGAAGAATGGGCGAAGATACCCGTAGATCGCTGCAAGACACTTGTGTCAAGCTATGCTTCACGTTTTTAAAAGCTGTTATAACTGTAAAAGGATGCTGTACTAAGTACTAAGATTGAATGTCACTTGGGGTTGAATAAAACTGATAATGCTGTGAGCACAGAAAAGACATTTGTGGTTATTTCATTATAACTGTTATGTTATATTTGTCTGACCTACAAGTGCCTCTTTAATGTAAATGTAAGCAAGATGACTGAATGATCAAAAGCAATGTCAAACTGGCCAAAACACTCAATTTCAGTGGGGGTTGAATAATTTTGGTCACAACTGTATGTAAAGTGCTGCATACATGGATGGTGCTATATAACTACCTGAAATAAATAAATATTTCAGAGAATCTCCAAACGTAATGTACTTTGTGTTGTATTTTCTTGTCTGCTCTCAGAAGACATCCATCTGCTCAAAGCAGCTCAAGACTGCAATAAAAATATTATGAGTGAAACAGAAAGATGTGACAGCCAAGATAAACCTCTAAAAGATGGATCTTTAGAAAGAGCAGTACCCGCACTTTTGCAGCCCCATTATAAGTCGCTGATCACCGCCATTGGTAGTAAAAATAAATAAATACAAATTCTAGTTTATATCCCATTATTTATTACAGGTACTTATACAGCACTGTCAATTTATACAGCACTTTACATATATATCATACATTTACCCCTAACCCTCAAGGGGTGTACAATCTAAGGTCCCTAACTCACATTCATATGCTTGGGGCAATTTAGACAGAAGCCAATTAACCTACCAGCATGTCTTTGGAGTGGAGGAGGAAACCCACACAGATACAGGGAGAACATGCAAACCCTAGGCTGGTAGTGCTGTGGTTGGGATTCAAACCAATGATTCTAATGCTACCAGGCAGAAGAGTTAACCATTTAGCCACTGTGCTGTCTTTAGTTTGCAGATGCTATAACATTCACACAAACCAATCAACATACACTTGTTGGTATTTTTTTTGTTAATCAAAGACGTAACAGAATAGATTTTGGCCTAAATTTTATTTGCTCAATTTTTCTATTGGATATGTTTTATAGCAGAAAGTAAAAATTATTGGGTTTTTTTTCTTCACATTTTTTAGTCTTTTGTTTATATCACAAAAAAATATAAAATGCAGTGGTGATTGAATACCACCAAAATAAATCTTTATTTGTGTGAAAAAATTGATATAAATTTCATTTGCATACAGTGTTACCAGTTAAAGTAGAGCAGTGCGGTATAGCAAAAAATGGCCTGACCATGAAGAGGGTAAAATCCGAGTTCAAGTAGTTAATACATGTCAATGTGTACTTGAAACATTCTTTGTGGAGAAGGATCAGAGTAACCGATCAGAAATGCGTTGCATAAAGTGTTTACAGAAAACCTTACAGCATTCATATTGAATGTACATATGCATCGCAATTCTGCTCTCTTTCAGCTTACAGAAAGACTAGGAGTGGCAATTGCTTCTCAGAAAGGCAGGAAAGCCGCTCAGAGGGATCTGCAAATCAGCAGACTCCTGTGCACAACGCAGTTCTTACAGCGCCAGTCTGCCAGAGGTCAGCTACTGGTTGGGAGCCAGTGATAGCAGCCACCCATAGCGATATATTTATATAATCCTCCCGCGCTCAGAATGTCAACCTCTAAATATAGCCGCTAACACCCTACCACATACCACAATGGACAATATTGAAATATAGTAACTTGGTGCTGCGCTAATAATTTGGAATAAAATAAGCAGAAAAATATCTCAACAATAAATATAGAATGGAATACACATGAACATAATATATAACCGTGGAACCCTCAAAGTACTAGATCTAGGGTGTTACCTACATACACCTTAAAACCGGTGACTAATGGATATCAAATTATATATAAAAAGATATATAGAATAGAATACACATGAATGTGCAAAATCATATATGATTGTGAAACCCCCAAAATATATCTAAGGTGTAACCTAGGTACACCCTAAATCAGTGATTTATAAGTGACAATCCTTAATAAGTGCCAAATGAGTGATAAAATAAAATCCCACCACTACTGTGCTAAATTGCACAAATGACTAGTGATGTAGAAAAAATATACCTACAGGTATATTCCATGCCAAACTGGTAATTGCCAAGAAAACTACCCAAAAAAACACTTATAGTGCTCATAAGTGAAGAAAAAAATTGAAAAAAAGTGGTTAATCGTGAAAAACCACAAAGCTAGTATAACACAACATAATCGAAAATGCAACATCCAAATTCTGCAGATAAATGACTAATAAAAGAAAAAATGTGAACCATATAGCAGTGACCCCTAATTGGGGATAAAGTGAAAATTAGTGGCTAAGTGACACTAATAGAATCTCTGTATGTAGCGAAGCGTTTATAAGCCACACAGCCCATAAACATAAAAAAACAGGAAAGACGAATAAACTGCTTAACGTGACACCAAATGCAGGGATAAAAATTGGAAATAAATTATATATACGTGATTCCGTGACACAAAAATCATATAAAATGATATCCAATTTGTAGAGTGAATCTCATCCAAAATAAACTTAAAGTCCAAAACCACCTAAATGGTGGAGGTGTTTTTGTAGTCCTTAGTGGATATACGTATATGAACTGTTAGACATAGGGAATCCCGCACTGAGTGAAATGCCCCCTCACCTCCTCGAAGCGACCCCACAGGGTCAAAGCGCTTTTTCAAATAGTACCGCACCGTTCTGGAACCTGGACCCTTTCCTACAGGCACAAGGTCCAACGCAGAGTCAATCTCCCTCACTGGTGGAAAAAGGCACCACAAGCAGCCTCCGCAGAGATATCCGGGAAATAGCCAATCCTCGTACAGCCAGAGAAAGGAAGGAAGATGCTCCCATAGTGTAATAACGTTTTATTATTAAATACTAAGGTAATACAAGTCCCGCTCACATGTAACTGGCTTTACATAGGATCAGAGTGTAACCACATGCTATGGGTGTACTTTACATAGATGTCTATTGGAGTCCCAAGATGGCGTCCACGCCGGAAATTACGCCAGCACACAACCGGAAATTACGTCACCACGGCGCACACATTTCATCACACTAACACGTGACTTCATCAGGAAGTCACCTATTTAAGGTCACCTACAGTCACCTATTTAAGGTGCATGTAGGTAACACCGTAGATCTAGTACTTTGGGGGTTCCACGGTTATATATTATTTTCATGTGTATTCTATTCTATATTTATTCTTGCGATTTTATATGCTCTCTTTGTGATGTTTTTCTGCTTATTTTATTCCAAATTATTAGTGCAGCACCAAGTTACTATATAGCCGCCCATAGCGACTCACGCTCTGCCAGCTCACAGGATACAGAGGACCTCACACAGAGCTTACACCCGCAGACTGGAGATTCAGGCAGAGGAAAGGCAGCACAGTGGCAAAGGATTGGTAAATATCAACAATTTCATACAGAAAGCATACTGACAGCCTGGTATGATTGTTTTCTCTCTGTTACTTGTGAATGTTGCTACTCTTAGAAGTGCTTACCCTGTGAGAGACTGCGACTAGATCCCAACAAAGGGTTACACCACCGCTCTGACAGGTCACATAGTACAGAGGGTCCTTACTGCATCACACCCGCTCCAGGACTGCACACAAGGTTGGTCCTTCCGAGGAAGACGTGTCTCAGCACAAAACCCTTAACCCTAGCAGGGATAACAATAACCTTAACCCCTCGCCTACCGGGCACTTATACCCCCTTCCTGCCCAGGCCAATTTCCAGCTTTCAGCGCTGTCGCACTTTGAATGACAATTGCGCGGTCATGCAACATTGTACCCATATGAAATTTTTATCATTTTTTTGTGACAGATAGAGCTTTATTTTGGTGGTATTTAATCACCTCGGAGTTTTTTATTTTTTCTTAAACAAACCAAAAACCACTGAAAATTTTGGAAAAAAAAAGTTTCTTCTTAGTTTTTGTTATAAAATTTTGTAAACAAGTGATTTGTCTCCTTCACTGATGTTCGCTAATGAGGCTGCAGTGGTGGGCACTGATAGGCTGCACTGATGGACACTGATAGGTGGCACTGATGGACACTAATGAGGAGGCACTGGTAGAAGGCACTGGTGGGCATTGACAGGCATCACTGATGGGCACTGAAAAGCAGCACTGATACATGGCACCGATAGGCAGCACTGATAGGCAGCACTGACTGGCACTGATAGGCGGCACTGACTGGCACTGATAGGCGGCACTGACTGGCACTGATAGGCGGCACTGACTGGCACTGATAGGTGGCACTGACATGGCACTGATAGGCCGAACTGATGCGCACTGATAGGCGGCACTGACTGGAACTGATAGGCGGCACTGACTGGCACTGATAGGTGGCACTGACATGGCACTGATAGGCAGCACTGACTGGCACTGATAGGTGGCACTGATTGGCATTGATAGGTGGCACTGACTGGCACTGATGGGTGACACTGAAAGGCAGCTCAGATGGGCACTGATATGTGGCATTGATGTGCACTGGTAGGCACTGATATGTGGCATTGAAGTGGCACTGATGGGCACTGGCACTGAGGAGCACTGACACAAGGCACTGATGGACACTGACAGGTGGCACTGCTGGGGCTACACTGATGATTAGGGCACACTGATCATCAGTGTGACAGCTCGAGAGGAGAGAAATGCCAATAACCGGCATTTCCCTGTTTACATGTGATCAGCTGTGATTGGACACAGCTGATCACATAACCGAGCTGACATCTTCGGCTCTTTCCGTGATCGGTGATCCGCTGTGTCCGAGGGATACAGCGCACCACTGATCGCTGCGCGCGCCCTGAGCCACGCATGCGCGGTGAGAATGGGAGGACGTCATATGACGTCCTCCCAGAATAGGAGAACAACCTTGCTCCCGTCATTGGACTATATGGTGGGCGGGAGGTGGTTAAAGTGATTCTAAAGGTTGATATATATATATATATATATTTAATTTTTTTACATAAACATATCATACTTACCTTCTCTGTGAATTGGTTTTGCAGCCCCGATCCTTCTTTTTCTCAGGTCCTCTTCCGGTGCTGCTGGCCCCTCCCCCAGATGAGTGCCCCCAACAGCAAGCCTCTTGCTCCCCAAGCTGCGCTCTTAAGAAAGGACATTGTCCATTCACACACAGAGCGCGGCTCAGTCCTGCCCCCTATCTCGTTTCATTGGCTCACTGGCTGTGATTGGCAGTAGAAGGAGCCAATGAGGAGGCAGAGACATAGGAGAGCTTCTGCTCTCATGCACACCTCTGGAGCAAGATGGGGCTCAGGTAGGTATAAGGGAGACTGGGGGGGAGCTGTATCCAGAAGAACCCTAGAATGCATTAAGGCAGGGGTGTCAAACTGGCGGCAGTCCCATCATGCCTCTGCCTTTGGGAGTCATGCTTGTAACTGTCAATCTTGCAATGCCTCATGGGACTTGTAGTTTGGCAACAGCTGGAGGGCCGCTAGTTTGACACCCGTGTATTAAGGTATAAACCTTCTGCTTTTAGAACTGCTCAAGTTAGCACCTGCCTACATTTGGGCAGGTAAGACAGTAAATATATATGTATTTGACAGTTTTTTATGGTCATCCACTTAAAGCCCAACTCTAAGCGCAACAACCCTATGAGGTTTCAGGTAGTTTCTCATTTCCTACTAATCTGCTTGTTCAGATTGACGTCTTAGTATACCTTCTACTATTCTCCCGGTCCGCTCTGAATGCATACACTGCAGGTCTTATAGGCCCCGGTGCTGTGATCACGTGTACTGTAGGTCATATAGGTCTAATAGGCCCCCTCTTTTCCTGGCCAATCATAAAACACGCATCCCTAGGCTTTGCTTTGTGAATGGCCAGGAGGGGAGGCAGCATGTAGAGCACCCTGGACATACAGAGTTCTATTAATCCTCCAATCTAAACAGGCAAATTTGTAGAATGTTGGGAAATGCTATTATGGCTATTAATTTCACAGGAATGTGTTCTGTTTCAAATGCCGCTTTATGCATTGATATACAGAAAGAAGAAACTATAAAGATAAACCTCTCTATGAACTCCAAAATTTCCAGAAGGAAGTCACTGCTCCTCTGATAATAAATCAAACCACAGAAACAAATGTACCCAGAGCAGGTAAGATTATATTTAGTCAAAGCGCTGAGCAATTGTGTATTATCTGCTGAGGCCCTTTGACCGCATAGGCTATTATCCGGAAAAGATATGAAATGCCTGACACCTGTGTCAGAAAAAAATGATTTATTTCACTGTGACAAGAAGCTACCCTCCGGTGATAAGGCAGTGCTAATAAATATATACAAAACAACCTTTTTTGGGCAAACTCAAATCTAAAGTGCTATAGTGCCAAACGCCTCTTCAAGGGGTCTCTGTGTAATAATACCTTACTGAAAAATCAATAACATTTCATTCCCATCAATAAAGTGCTCAAAGCCCATAAGGTGTGTTAATAATAAAGTGAAGTCACAACTCCTAAGCAAAAGTGTCCATTAGCCCTGGTTCACACTGAATGCAACTTTGAAATTGCATTACTTCACTTGAAGTAGTGGAATTTCAAAGCTGCAGATCAGTGCGATTTTTGTACCTCCGATTTCACTGTGGCTTGCAACTTCATTTAACAGAAGTCAATGCAAGTAGTAGAAAAAAGTAGTGCAGGAGTTATTTTTGAAATCGCACTGATTCACCGCTTTCTCACCGCCCTACAGCAGACATACTGCTACAGGGTGGCAGGGGTTTGCAAAATCATGTGTATTTACGTGATTTTGCATTTCCAGGCAGGGGGCGCACGTGAGCCCTACCCGCGCTGCTGTTCGCAGCTTCGGCTGTCAATAACCGGGTCCCGACCGGTGACTACTTGCCGCCACCTGGTGATCACCAAGCATTACCGACGGAGAGAGAGAGAACTGTATGTAAACAGTATAGTTCTCTCCCCTGTCAGCTCTTGCACACTGCTTTGTATGACTCTGCATAGCACCGCCATACAAAGCAATGTGCTTACAACTGAAAGCACTAACACCGCCCCCATAGTAAAACAGCACACAGTTAACCCTTTGATCGCCCCTCATGTTAACCCCTTCCTGCCCTGTGCCATTCGTACAGTGTCAGTGCTTTTTATTAGCACTGATCACTGTATTGGTGTCACTAGGAGTGTCAGTGACACCAAGTCACTTCCCCCCCAGTGTCAGAATGCCACGCTATAAGTCGTTGATCGCCACCATTACTAGTAAAAAGTAAAAAAAAAATCCCAGTATATATACCGCCATTTGTAAACGCTATAACATTCATGTAGACCAATTAATTTACACATATTGAGATTTTTTTTGAAAAGACACGGAGCAAAATACATTTTGCCCTAAATTTATGACAAAATTAGATTTTTATAAATCTTTTTACTGGACATGTTTAATAGCAAAAAGTCAAAAATATTGTTTTTTCTCAAAATTGTCAGTCTTTTTTTTTTTTTTTGTATAGCACAAAAAAAATGCAGAGATTATCAAATACCACCGAAAGAAAGCTCTATTCGTGGGAAAAAAAGGACGTACATTTCATGTGGGTGCAGCGTTGCATAACCGCGCAATTGTCAGTTAAAGTAACGCAGCGCCGTAATGCAAAAGATGGACTGATCAGGAAGGGGCGTAAATCCTCTGGAGGGCAAGTGGTTAAGACAGTGCCCTAGAAATACATTCTATGCGATTTCAGGTGCGATTTGTAAATCACATGTATCACATGAAATCGCACCAGTGTGAACCAGGGCTTAGGGAAAATCCAAGCATAAGTCTCGGATGTGCTCCACGCAAAGTTTTCAATGAATGCTCCACCCACTGTTGCATATAGATTTGTATAAGTACATTGACTCTGGTGATCTAGAAAATCAACTGTGCTCCACCCAAAACTTGACATTCAGTTGTGCTCCATCCAAAAAGTTTGTGGAGCTCGGATTTTGGATGGAGCGTGGACCATAGATAATGCAAATTCTTGAACAATCATACTGTATGTAGGTTGAAGAGATTCCCCAAGTACACTAGGATCTGAGAAGCCATAGTAGTGAGAGAAAGAGAGGAAGGAAAGTAGGTGTCGGGGCAACCATTCACTCCAGGCCAGGGGGAGATGTTTTTAGTCCAACTGGTATCGCTCATCAGGTATTGGATCCAAGGATCCCACGTGTTTACGAACAATGCCAGTTGATCATTTAAAATCGCTGAAAGGTGTTTGTCGATCATGACCCAATTCAGTTTTGTCTTCAATAATTCAAACTGAACTATGGGAGACTTCCAGGATCCAGCAATAGTGATACATGCCACTTTGAATATAAATGTTACCAATCTTCCTATGGGCTTTGGGGTCTCCTCCTCTGTGCCTGTTGTGGGGATTTGATAAAGTTAATGCCAGTAAGAGAGTTAATAAAATTATACATGTGGATCCAACATTTTTGGAGCATTGGGCATGTGCTCCACACATTGTAGGCTGAGCCTCCATGGTCACAACCTCTGAAATAGAGGGGAGAGACTCACAAGGCTATTCTAGGGGAATCCATGTGCCACTGCAGAAACACTAGGTACCTGGCCTCTCTTAAGGGGGTGTTGACTTGACTTTTTAAGGTGTGCTGTGCCAACTTATGCCAGTCTGGCTAATCAAGCGTGTCCCCGATGTCCTGCTCCCGTTTGGTCATACAGGGCAGCGTGATGTCTTGGGAGATGAGCATGTCATAGATTTTTGATATATATCTGGAATGTTTGTCAGTACATTTGTATAGATATTCCATAGGAGTGGCAGAAGAGGGATCTGTTTCAGAGAAGTTAGGAAATTAGCTATTTGGGTGTAGTGATAAGTCTTAGTATGCCAAACTTTTATTTAAAGAATTGTAGAGTCAGTATACTGCAGTGGTCACAGAAGTCTGCTATGTGCAAAAGGTCCTTATTTGTCCACCAGGAGAAATTCTGTGGGGCGAGACCTGTAGTGAAGTCTGGGTTGTTTAATAATGAAGCCAGCAGGGTATGGACAGATTTAAATTTATAACAGTTTGTCACTCTATCCCACAGCACCTTTTGGACTTTGAGCACTTTATTGATGGGAATTAAATTTTATTGATTTTTGAGTAATGTATTAATACACAGAGACCCCTTGAATAGACGATTGGCACTATAGCACTTTATGTTTGAGTTTGCACAAAATAAGTTGTTTTCTATATATTTTTTAATGCTGCCTGATCTACTATATTTATTATATGGAAAAGGTCAACATAGCCTTTTCCATATCTGGATGTTCAGTATTAAATTGCTACATGCAAATACAGCATGTAGCAATTTAATACTGAACATCCAGATTTTGCTCAGCATGGTCGTGACTATTTTTTGGCAGGTTAAGTTAAAAACTCATATTAAAGAAATTGAATTAACTATCTGACAGTAGCATTGATGCCTGGAAAACATTAGCTGTTCACTAAGATGCTCAATACATTTCTAGGCACGCTTTTCATTGTGTTATCGCTATTTCCATTATCTGCAGAAAATCAAGGTGGTTTGAATCCAGCTAAAAGTGAAGATTGGAGCAGAGATTCTTCAAGCAGTACAAGATATCAAAAGACCACATTGTCTGAAAAACAAGCAACAAAACCATTCACAGATAAAAAGGCAGAACCTTCCAATAAAGGAAACTCTGAATGCGAAATGGGTGTGGTACAGAAACGCGTAAAAGATTTTGAAGAAATGAAGAAAAAAAAAATGAATTTTAAATATTCCTTCATGAACACAAC